ACTACTTAAGCAGAAATAAACTTTCTGATCGAACAAGGCATTTGTCGGCCGTCAAAAAGTGCATGGGCTAGTCCATTACATATGGTGGCCAAAAAAGACGGTGGCTGGCGTGCCTTCGGTGACTACCGTAAATTAAATGCAGTCACCGTGCCGGATTGTTATCCAATTTCCCATTTGTACGATTTTTCCCAGCACCTACACGGAAAAACGGTTTTCTCAGCGTTGGACTTAGTAAAAGCGTACTATCAGAAGACGATGTTAAATAACTGCTGTGTGCACTCATTCCACCCTCATAGAATTTATGTTCATGCCTTTCGGGCTGAAAAATGCCACACATACTTTTCAAAGATTCATGAATGGTATTTTTCGGGCAATTGATTTTGTATATTCCTACATAGGTGACATACTCATTATGTCCAACACTATCGCTGAGCATGAGCGGCACCTTCGCTCAGTCCTGCAGATTCTCCGCAAACACGGCCTGAGTATCAACGCTAGCAAATGTTAAATTGCCCAATCGGAGGTGAGGTTCCTCAGCTATATAATCAATAAACACGGTATTAAGCCTCCGGCCGATCGCGTGGCAACCATTGTTTTCTGGGCGTTATCAATTACTATCGTAGATGTTTACCACGGTATTCTCAAATTCAAGCACCTCTAACAGAATTGCTGAAAGACTTCAAGAAGAACGACAAACGAGTGGTAAACTGAACAGCTGAGCTCAGTGCTGCTTTGGACGCTTGCAAACGCAGCGTAGCGGAAGCCGTGCAACTGGCGTATCCTACACTAGAGGCTAAAATGGCACTGGTGTGTGACGCATCTGACATAGCTATGGGTGCAGTTCTGGAACAGCAGGTCGACGAGGAGTGGCGACCCCTTGGTTTTTCTTTCAAAAAAGTTGAGCGACTCGGAGAAAAGGTACCGCACGTATGACCGAGAGTTGCTGGCAATTTATGAGGCGATTAAATATTTCAAACACTTGGTTGAAGCACGCATCTTTGTCATTAAAACCGATCACAAGCTTTCAAGCAACGATTGGAAAAGGCAACACCTCGGCAGCAACGAGTATATCTCGCAATTTTCCACTACTATTGTCCATGTCAAAGGCGAAGAAAACATGGTCGCAAATGCTCTGTCGAGGCTTTACGCTATCAACATGCCTACGGCAGTAAGTCTGGCTCACATCGCAGAGGCTCAGGTGACTGACCCTGAATTAACCGTGTTACTAGGTGGAAGCACTTTTTAAAACTACAGACGGTAAGGTACGATGATAATGTGTCACTGCATTGCGATACGTCGACTGGCTAGGTGCGTCCTTATGGACCCAAAACATTGCAACACCAAGTTTTTTCTTCGGTCCAGGCCCTCTCTCTTCCGAGTGGCAGAGCAACGTTGCATCAAATACGTCAAGCATATGTCTGGCCATCAATGAATAAGGATGTAATCCAGTGGTGTAGGAGTTGTGTGCCGCGTCAACGTGCAAAAATCAGCAGACACAATCACCTTACGGAGGAGAAGATCATCGTTCCTGATAACAGATTCAACCATGTTCATCTGGACATTGTGACCATGCCGTTACAGCGAAATTTCCGGTATTGTCTTACGATGATCGATCGGTTTTCTCGTTGGCCGGAAGCCATACCATTACCAAACATTACTGCGGAAACCGTTGCGATAGCGTTTTGGACACACTGGGTAGCACGTTTTGGGACTACTAAAACTATAACTACGGACCAAGGGACACAGTTTAAGTCGGCGGTTTTCAAGGAACTCGCCAAATTGATGGGAAGCAATCACATTCATACTACTGCTTATCACCCACAGTCAAATGGGTTGATCGAACGGTGGCACAGAACGTTTAAAGCCGCACTCATGTGCAACAACGAGTTGCCTTGGCCTGAACTGCTACCAACCGTATTACTAGGGTTGCGTACGTGTTTTACGGAGCCCTTGGGAGCGTCAACAGCAGAAATGTTATAGGAGCGCAACTTCGGGTACCTAACGAATTTTTTGACGACGTCGGGTCAGACATGGGATCGACGACATTTCTAAATTTTCTTCGAAGGCATATACGACAAATACGACCAACTCCAACGAATCACCATACCAAGGAGAAAATATTTTTAATTCGACCAGTCGTGACTTGGTTATTGGAAAGGAAGTACTGTGACGAGTCTGCCAATACACCAGATGGCAACACCATCGTTTATCGAAATCTTCCCTGCAAGAAGCCTGACCTATGATTATCGGTTAAATTAGTGGGAAAACTGACTGAAACTTAAGGTGTTCTTACACGATATGTATTTGCATCTGTAAATGTGAGTTTTTCAATACACATGTAATTGTGTATGTCTGTCAAATTCACCGTTTTTATTTAACTTTTTAAAAATACGATCTTTGAAAACGAAATAAAGTAACCTTAGATGATTCTATCTGTGTGTCAGATGAAAATAGAAACATTTCTATTTCGTATGTACGTGCATATGCTTTGTACAGAAACAAATCTAATTTGCCTTTACACGATATGTTGGTATTTCCATATGTAAAAAGTGGCATGTACACATGCAAAAACATATCGTGTAAGAACACCTTTAGCGGTTTGTTTTGTATGGGCTTGGGGAAAAAACTGACCACTTCTCCGGGCGTGTGCTAGTAGAGTATGTTCACTCGCTCAAAATAATTGATAAATTAGTGAATAGATGGCAGCGAAATGTCCAAAAATACATGAAACCAAAATAAAAAATACAATTCGATTTAGTTTATGTGTTTGTTTTATTTGTAAAAATATATTTTCGAATATTAACTCAATTTCGCAAGCTTTTTTAGAGCTACTGAGCTCAGACAATTCTTCTCATTTTTAATCGGGGCCTGAATTTTCGTCGCTGAATACACTGATTTCTATAAATTCTTTCTTTAAATTCACTGACTTCTTCTCTATTTTGCACCACAGCTAACAATAAAGTAAAATATTCTTTGATATATATGTATGTATGCGAGCGTACAATCGATAGTTTCTTTTCGTCAGCCGTTTTTTGCAGGGTTCTTTGGTAAATGTATCGAAAACTCGACTTCATACATTTCCTAGTACATTTTCTTATATGCATTTTTAGCTTCTGTAACTAAGGATTTTCACTTTTAAATAAAACCTATGGGTACGGTTTAGTACGTTGCCGATCTATTTCGAGGTGTTGCGCCCAAAGGGGTGACCCGATCAAAAAATTTTCCACACACTTGTAGCAAAGGGTCTAAACATTATTTTAACGCCCACTTTTGTAATTTTTGGTCACTAATTTATTTACAAATTGGGTTAGAATTATGCCCTTTATTGTAAAGTTCGGAAATTAGCGTAAAATTATCACTCCTATTCTCCTTAAAGCAGCCACTTCAGCAATATATTTTTATATTCTCCTTCACTTTACACTTTACTCGATGAGTTATAACTTTCTTTATGACTTTAATATTAACCAATTAATCACAATTTATTAAATAAAAACACCTTCTAAATCATGCGTCTGACTTTGGTTGCATATGCAAAATAGATGGCGGAGTTCAGCTGTCAAACTCCAAAATATGCAAAAGAATGAGAGACAAAAGAAAATAGGATATAACCCTGTAAGCATTAAAAATATACAAAGGTGTTCTCTACAAAAGGTGTACAGCTCCTTTTCTTCGCAAAACAAAAAGAAGAATTCTACTGCCTGAGGGTTATAGTCTGTGAAAAAGGTGTTCAGGCCCCCTTCTTTGGCAACACAGAAAAGGAGAATTCTACTGCCTGAGGGTTTTAATCCCTAAGTGCGGCCGAAGGCCGCCTACGCAGAAAGGTGTTCTCTGCAAAAGGTGTTCAGCCCCCCTTCTTTGGCAACACAGAAAGGAGAATTCTACTGCATGAGGGTTATAATCCCTAAGTGCGGCCGAAGGCCGCCTACGCAGAATGGTGTTCTCTGCGAAAGGTGTTCAGCCCCCCTTCTTTCGCCTGATAACCACCTTGGGATAACTTCTTTTATTTAAAAACCCCACAGATTCTGTTAGTTGGGTTATATTCCACTTCAAACTGCTCAATTTCCTATTTTTATCGGTCTAGTATTAAAATATTGGGTATTATAATTGTTTCAATCGACGCATTAAATCCCACAAATATATTTTTACATACACACGTGGTTGCTTAATTTCTTATTATTAGTTGCATATATGTAGATGCTTTCAAAAGTTGCAAAATTTCTATAAAAAAGTTAAGCGATTTTAACAATATCATAATCAAAAGAAAGGTAATCGAATCACCTTTCTTGTGATGCATATTAACAGTTGCAAGTCATTTACACTGGTTTTCAAAAATTCAGCTTTATTACAATTTTGCAAAATTTTACTTCTTCACTGCTTACATATAGATGTTTACAAAAGCTGCAAAATTTCCATAAAAAGGTTAAGTGATTTTAACAATATTATACTCAAAAGAAACGTAATCGATTTACCTTTCTTTTGATATATATTAACAGTTGCAAATCATTTAGAGTGGTTCACAAAAATTCAGTTTTATTACAATTTTGCAAAATTTGACTTTTTCACTGCTAACATATAGATGTTTGGAAAGGTGCAACATTTTTATAAAAGTAAAGCAATATTATAATCAAAAGGAAGGTATTCGATTTACCCTTCTTTGATGTATATTAACAGTTTTAAATCATTTATAAACTCAGTTTTCTGATGATGCTGCCGTTGAAGGTGCTGATGGTGAAGCGAAATCTGTAAACAAACAAAAATAAAGATTCGTAAAAAAATCGGAACAAACTCCCGATACTCTTAAAGATTTCGGGAGCATTTGTTTGCGGGGTGTATTTAAGTGCATGTGTATGTATACGCGGATATGCAAACAAAGCAAAACAGGCGATAATTAGACATAGCCGTCAAGAATGATAGAATACAAGATTTGCGCCAATGGAGCTGAGAGCAACTGGCCATGACATCAAAATATACCAGAATGAGAGAGCAAAGATAAATTCAATAAGAAAAAGAAGAAGAATCGAACAGCTGGGGCGAAATTGAAAGGTTTGTTTACAAAGTGCTTAATAAATCGCGGATTTACGGAATTATTTAATTTTAAATGGTAAATTGGTTGTTTAAAAGTAAATAATGTATACTTATTAAATGCAATGCAAATCGCTGAAAGTGTTAAAACACTGCAATCATTATAATGATTTGTATTTTTTCAGTAATTGAACAAATACCAGCGGGCAGACAGCGGGTCAGTTGCTGGTAATAATTTGCAGAACGATTCCACGGTGATCGTTGCATCGTCGTCAATTAGTGAAATCAGTAACCAAGCTTTTAAAATAAAGGAAAACCTCCTCCTCCGCTATACATATAATAACTTTCATTATTTAGCTACTTTTCCGGCAGCCGCAACAAACGCTGGGCCGAGCCTGCAAATTGTTGCCAGCAACTGACCCGCTGGCTGCCCACTGGCATTTGTTCAACTACTCAAAAATGCACTTTGTAAACAAAGCTTTTGGGTGTGGCCACATCAAGCGGCTCATCTGGATGAAATGAAAAGGCTGTTAGATGTAATGCAGCAACGTGCTCCCGATGTTGAACATCAGTTCAAAGAAAAGTCAAATGAGTTGGAAATGGCGCAGATTATCATACACCAGTTGTCGGATAAGGCCAATATAAACCAAGGCGGCAATCGTATAGAGACCTTGACGCAGACGCAATTTATGTACGAGCAACAGATTAGAGACTTACAAGTAAGTTAGAAGTAGAAGTGCATTTGAAGATGTTTACATTATTACATATTTACGCATTTCTTACAGGCTATGGTGCAACAATTGACAAAGAAAGGAATTTATAATGGTCACAAATATATTGGCAAAAACATAGCAAGTGCATATGCCAAGTTGGAAAAATTGACAATGCGTAAGTATAAAATGAATAGGTGTTCTTAATTATAAATATTACTTTACATTTTCTTTTGCAGTGGCCAAAAAGAAGAGTCTTTTTGATGATCGACCGCAAGAGATTCAAGAATTGACTTACATCATGGTGTATGCGTTACAATCTAAATTAGCCAGCATGGGCACCGACTTCAAACAGATACTAGAAGTGCGTATAGAAAATCTCAAACAACAAAAAGCGCGTCGGGATCAATTCGGGCAGTCACCAATTGCTGCTAGCACGAATATGTTTGTGACACGGCAAGATTTTAACAAGTTCAGAGGCGCGGTCTTAAAGTTGTGGGTTTTTAAATACATAAACATATAATATCCTATTCATATACATACATATAAATCACACTAATGTAATAATGAAATTAAGTCTTATATGCCACGTGAAACACGATAGCTTTTAGAAGCAGTCACGTAGGGTTAGACACTAATTCTGCCAATAACAAAATTACTTCACTTATTTTCCCTTTTTTACAAAATTTTCTATAAAAAGTAGAGATGATCCTGTGCAATAAAACGAGAACCGATTTATGTAATCACAAATATATAAAGAAGAGTTTAAAACTAAATTAAATAGAAATTGTTATTGGCAATAAGTACATGTGCTTGTTTATTAATAATTCAAATATTATGTTCAAACAAATTTAAGTGAAAGGTATGCAATTTCAAGAAAAAAGCAATTGCTTAGTTTTTATGCATACGGCTTTACATTTCCGGTAGAGTTGTCAAACTATCGATAGTATCGATAGTTTAAATTTTTTTAAACTATCAATACTCATTGATAGTTTTTTCTTATACTATCAAAAATATCGATAGTTTAGTCAGACTATCGAACTATTGTTGGTAATACCTGAATTTTTTAATTTGAATTAAAAATTTTGTTTTTTAGTGTGATGCCGACGTCATATTCAAATATGCACGCATTTAGGCCAAAATACATACATATGTTAATCGTAAATCTTGTTTTGTTTGTATAACTTGTGTTTGTTTTTGTACTTTCTAAAAAGAGAAGTATTTTGGCTAAGCAGTTACTTAATTTTGAATGATTATAACTTTTATAAGATAATATTTATTTCACTATGATCCTGTGAAAACAAAGCAACCTAACTGATATAGCGATATTGTAACTAATATTGATAGTTTTTCTGAAAACTATCAAAACTATCGATGGTGTGGCTATCGATAGTTTGACACCTCTAATTCCCGGTAGGAAGCAAAAGGTCAGTATGTATAAATAAAAAGCTTTATCAGGGAAACGTGTTATATTTTGAAATAGCAAATAAATAAAAAATACATCGTAATGAAATGTTGCCGTTTATTGCATGTGATCTGATGCCGGATTCAATTTATAGGTCTTTGCAAACAAAGAATACAAATTGCGCCAAATTTAGTAAATCAATTACAGTTATGTTTGTTAACATTTTAACATGTAAAAACTAGGGAGATGTTTTATATAAGCAAGGTGTTGTATACTGTCGTACTGTTGTATGTCATAAACTTCAAACGGCTAAAACTGTATTTAAGAAATTCGCAAACTAACATAAAAGTTTTATTATGAAATTTCACACAATTAAAAAATAATTGGTGGTGATTTAGCAACCCCACATACGCGGTTTTGCATTATCATGATACGCGGTTGTAGTGTCGCTTGTCGCCCTGCAAAAATAACGTACACTAGAAATGGGAGTCGAACCCATAAGCTGGCAACACTATTTCATTTCGATATTTTCAAGCAGTTGGTGTCACCATCTATCGTTCGTTTTTTCTTGTGGCAAGAGTTAAACGTCAGTGGAGAATTTGCTTTAAGAGGACGTTTATTGCTTTGTATTTTTCTTTTGACACCTTGGGAGAGCAAAGGTTTCCGCCAAAGGAGGTTTCCTTTTTGAAGCACCGATTAACTTAAGCCTTTTTCTCGTGGATTTCGATCAGATCGGTGGTGCACGATTACGCTTATTACGGCGCACAGAACTTCTTCTCCAAGTGAAGTCTTAATACATGGAAGTTTATTAAAGTTTTCAAGCGCTAGTTTTACTCGGAAATATTGTACAAAAACTATTTCTCAACACACCTGGGCTGAATTTCGCTCAATACCGAGAAAAA